AAAAATAATTTATTGATGCAACTAGCAGCAATAATAAACTCTGGTTGATCAATTGAATTCAATAATGATATCGCTTCTGACGACACATTACTTTTTTTCATGCTTAGCCTTATTTAATTTTCGTATTTCTATTTCTTCTGTTCTACAAAATGGAAGTAAAAATGAAAAATATTTAAAAAAATAATTATTAATTCTAACTCACTACGAATTTTGAATTTAATAAAATAAATATAAATAATAATAAAATAAATTATCGTTTGATTTCAATCTCTTTGACTAAATATTTTTCCATTTTATTAATATTTTTGAATAATATGTTGGAAAATTGATATTCAAATATTTGTAACATTTTGATTATAAGGGGGGGGGGGGAGTAAAATTTATATTAGCTTAAAATGATATTTATGAAAACAGTCAAATTTGAGATGGGGGGATTTCCCCCTTCCCTCCCCTCATTGGTTATGTGCCTGCTATATTATACATATCTTATTTCATAAGGCCAAAAAAAACAACATTGAAAATTAATAAATAACAATAAAATTAAAAAGAAATAAAACGAAGCGAAACGAAACGAAACGCGTGTAAAACGCTTTTTAAAATAAAATTCCTCTTTATCACGATTAAAACGTGATAATACCATATTATCATACCTTAACTTACAATCCTTGTTTTTTAATTATCCCTTTAAAACCCGTGATGATCCCGGATAGTTCAGATCACTTTAAAAATTACGACATATATATATTGGGAATAACTAAGTTATTATCCACTTCTATTCTAACTATAAAATCTTGAAAATTTCAAGTGGAGTGGAGCACTCCAATTCTAGACCGACGATATATAAAATCTTCAATTTACACTTTTTATAAAAAAATGCTTAAAAAAAATTTTCTAAGTCAATAACTAAAAATAATAATTAATAAAACAACTTCAAAAATATAAAAAAAACGCATCATGAGACTTTGCCATTTTTCATCATAAATTATAAATTTACAACATAATTTCTTTTTATTATTCATACATGCATGACTTTAATTTTTATTTTTTGCCCATATATTTTATTTTACCCCTTATATTGTATATTTAAAAATAATAATATTAATATTACTCGTTTCACTTCACTGTAATCGGAATTTATGTGGGGGATTTGTTTATAAAAAAAAATATACATAGTTAAAAGAAAGTAAAATAAAAATTAATTATATTTTAAATAGATTCTGTCCGTGCCAGTAAATTCTTTTTTAAAAAAAATCGGATTCGGGCCGGAAAACTTTTTAATCAAAAGACCCCAAATTTAAACAAATATTTAAATAGTAAGAAAATGAGATTAAAAGCTTAATTAATTTAGAATGTATAAGATTTAATTTAAGATTAGAAAATGTGATTTATTTTTTCTTGCTTTTCATTTATCCGAGAGGTGTAATCCATAGGTGGGTCTGGACCCTGGGTCTGAATCTCGGGTCGGCCTGAGCACATAAAAGGGTCGTAAATTTTACAACCAACAAATTAACAACATTAAGTCTCCCTTCTCAATCTAGGGTAAGAATGGGCTAATACTAAAATTAATAGGCCTGATATTAACTCAGCATTAAATATTTTATTAATTATTGTAAATATTCATTCTTAATACATGTATATATTATGCTCTTCACAAATAAATATTAAAACTGTATTAGTTTATAAACTATTCTAATTTAATTGGTAACTATAATTTAAAAGTATCTTGTATTTAAGATACTCTACTTAAGAAAAACATACAAGTATCTTATCTTGTATAATTTTGATATTTAGAAATAATAGTATTTGTATCTAAGATTGATATTTTCACAAAGAATCTGTATCTGTATCTAGATTCTTTTTCCAGAGGATCTACCCAACTTTGGTGGATATATTCATAACCTTTATAGCTTATGAAATTATGTCCTTTTTGAGTTTTCTAATTAAATTTTATGTACAAATAAAAGTTTATATACTTGAATATCTAATTGTCTATGCCTAAAAACTGTTTTTAAATTTTCTGCGACTGTTGGGATTTACATGGTAAAACTAATTATTTAATTTTCCATATCGAAAATGTTTTCCACATTGGGAATATTTTTTAGGAATATACCCTGATTTTAGCTGTTTTGGTCTTCGCTATATCGTGCCAGTGCCCAGGCCGAACAGGTCTTTATTTTCCTGCTGTCGGTGTCTAGTTCTTTAATTTTATTAATGCGCCCCATAACTGAAGCCAACGCTCGATGGACCCATTTATCAGGAATTTTTCGATTTTATCTATATTTATAACAGTATTGGTTTTGGCTTGAGGGATAATTTTTAACAATTAATAAACTATTTTATTACTTGTTTTAATTAGAATACTAGAATCCTTAGATTACGCTAATTTATAATAATTATGTCATATTATTTATTTATTCAATTTAATGCATATCAGAAACCTCCGGGCCCGGTTTATAGCCCTGCCCGGGTACATAGACCTTGCCGTATTTTAATTTTTTTAGAAAAAAATATCGGGGCCTGTCCGGGCCGAAAGAAATTTTTAAAAAAAAAATCTGCGGCGGGCCGAAAATTTTTTTTAAAAAAAAGTCATGCCGTAGGATTGTGAAATCAATACCCATTGTATCTTCAATATTGTATTGATATTATCATTGTAGATTTATACCATAGTGGTATTTTGGTATCGTAGAATCAATATCGTATTGATTTTTAAGAGATGTTTTCATCGATTCAAATATATTGGCGGCCATTAAAATTGTAAAATATTTATTATTATTATCTATTTTTTCATCACTTCAAAAATATTGCAGGTTATATTCAATTTGTAAAAATATAATAGATTTAATAGTTTTAAATATATTTAAATGATTATAAAAATGATTTTCTATTCTTTTATGTAATTTTTTCAGGGAATTTATTTATTTTACAATTCTTGATATCCTACATAATTTTTATTTGTTTACTCATAATTTGTAATAATTTTCTTCTTATGATTAAAATTACATTGTTTATTTAAATCCATCCTGCAGAAAATTTTAAATAATTACATAAAATTTTGTGATGTGCTCTATAAGTGTTGATTCAAAATTTTATAAATGACATTATGAATTTAAATAAATTATATGTACTTTAATGATTGAAAGAGAAATCTATAAAATTTTGTGATGATTAATCGATAAAATATTGTGATGTGCTCTATAAGTGTTGATTAAAGTTTTATAAATGATATTATGAATTCAAACAAATTAAATGTACCATATTGATTGAATGAAAATCTATAAAATTTTGTGATGTGCTAATTTTAGTATCGATGTCATTGGCTAATTTATAAATGTCGATTCATCAATAAATGTCGATTCAAAGATTTGTAATTTATATTTTAGATTTTATTGGTAAAAGTTAAGGTCCGGTCATAATAAATACGGTATTGATTTTAAATGGTATCGATTTTGAAACTACACGGCCGTGCAAATGGTACCTCTGCAGGTCTCGGATACATGTGATTCTCAGACATAAAATATTAATTCATAGGACATTGTATTAAAGATTGGTGATCTCGATATATGCATAATATATAAATAGAATATCACACTATATTACTACATTTCCATTCCATATTTTACAAAGCTATCTTTCAAGATTATTTAATTACTCAGTGAAGAGTCAGAGAAGTAAAGGTTTGAACGGTAGGGAGTTCATCTAGCTGGATTTTGTAAGAGGCATTTTAGCTATATAAATAATTTTATCATAATTTTTTAATAACGTTTATTAATAAAATAAAAAAGTGTATATCCAAATTACAAATTATTTTTAAAAAAAACAAAAAATAAAGTATATTTTTAAGTATAAAAATTTTTCCCTCTATAGGGAAAATAAAAAGCGCAATTATAAATTAAAATAAAATTGGCTCAAAGTGAAAAAAAGAACGTTTTAACAAAAAAAGTTGTGTTAGTATTATCTTACATAATTAGGGATTAAACTTACCCCCCCCCCCCATACTTTCCGGAACTCTAATTATACCTCTAGATGCTGGGAAATCTCCCGACCTAAATGTCTAACTTATATTTCCTGAACACCTTACTAACAACTCCAAATGCAAGAAAATCCCTTAAGGAAAAGAAAACACAAAAACCATATGTTAACCTTAAGTGTACTTAACTCCAAACAAAATAAAAATTTAATTTATTTTTATGAATTTAAGACAAAACAAAAGAAGGGCAAAAAAGAAAATCTTTATTTAATTTTTATATATTGAAAACAAAACAAAAGAAGGGTAAAAAAGAAATCTATTTTTAATTGAAATTTATAACACTCAGGATGCTTGCAATTAATCAAAATAATTTTATAACAATACAATGAAGGATATAATAAGGCATGCAATGACACTACTTAAATTATTTTTATATTTTATACTAAATGATAAACATAATCAATGTATTTATTTAATTACATATATTATAATTTTTTGATGAAATAAATATTGTGATTATTTAATAAAATAAAAATATATACATCCAGTCCCAAAAATGACAATAATCTATTAATTTAGACATTCTCTTTTTGCCCTCTTATATATCAAACGTATCAACCTAAATAACTCAAATATGAAGATATTGCCATGTTTTCAGTCAGGTGTATAGCTTAACTAATTAAGTAGTTAATTCTATTCTTTATTAAGTCAGTAAAAATAATCTTATATATTTAACTTATTTTTCATATAAGTTTTATGTTTTAATATAATATTAAATTCTCACGCTTTAAACTTATTAGGGGCCATGGACGCCATTTTAGCTTATTTATCATTTGCTATTTTTTAATATTAGAAAGGGTGGACCCAAATCAAAATATATTAATGCGACATACATCATACCTCTGTAAAATTTTTATTTTGTTTAACTTGATTTTTCCAAGTGAGCTTAAATTATAAAATAATATATCTTATACGATTATTGTAGATTTTTCAATCAAATGCTATAATTGTAGTTCAGATCAAAATCCTCAATGTGGTGAAAAATGGAATAAAAAGATTTCCAAAATACAACCTATTGATTGTTCATATGTAATAGATGCAAAATATTGCATTAAAACTAATGGCATATCTGGAGGTATCAAATTTATTCAACACTAATAAATTTATTTTCTAAAGGTCAAATTATAACCAAAAGGTTTTGTTCATCTTATGATATGGGAAATCAATGTGAATTTATTAAAAGAAAAGATGACTGGACTACTTATAGATCATGTATTTACACCTGTAAACATGATTATTGTAACTCAGCCCAAAAAATGTCCAGTTATTTTTTTGTGATATTATCACAATATATACTTTTGAGTTATGTTTTTAAAATAATTTTATAAAACATATTATATATTTTATCAAAATGATGGCATTTTCTTGTGATAAACAATCCTTTTAAATTATATTATTAGATAAATAATTTCCCCAATATTTAAAAATACCTATATAAAATTAAACAAAAATAAATATATGAAATATTTTTATAATTATATTTGGTATTAATTTTTATTAATAGGCTATAAAATAGCAAATTGTTTATTTTTAAATTTATGAAATTGGCAATAATTTTTGGTTAGTTCATATCAAATATTTAAAATTAGTAGTTTTTTATAAATGAAAAAGTTAATATATATTACAGACTGCAGAACAGAGGTTAATTTTTATACCTAGACAGATTTTTAAAAAAAATTGGACTGCTGATTTTTTTATAATATTAAGCCTAACCCATAATCATTTTATAGTCATTGAAGTAAACATCCTGTATTTTTTTCAATTTAGCATACACATTGTTAACCCTCTATTGCATATATCATACTTGAATACACATACCAAAGGTATAAATTTAAATATAAATTTTTTTACAGTTTAATACACATGATGTATAATAGATACACATATATTTTATTTATTTCTATAGTTAATTTTGTCAAAAATGAAAGACAGCGATTAATATAAAAATTCTAAAATACATAGTTTAAAACTTTTGAATAGTTGCATTTTTCCCATTTAAAAATTATGCCATTTCTCTTGTATAAATTTTTAAGGAACGGGAAGTTAAAAATCCTATTAATTAAAGGTAAAAGAGATGTTTTATATATAAATAGATTATAGTGTTTAAATTTTAAGGTACTTGTACCCAGATACATAATGCACACAAATGCAATATGAATTTGTGCTTTTTTGATTATTTTTTTATATTATTAAATGTTCTTTATTTGCTATCTATAGTCAAAATGTACTGTATTCCAGAAGATAGTTCTGTTCTGATTCTAATCTTAGTGGTTCATCAGATGAGGAAATTCTTGATTCAAGATCAGCCGATGTTGATTCTAGTAGAAATGTGGTATCTCAGCTATTGGTACCACTACATTCCAATCTAAAATTGTGTTTTGTTAATTGGTTCTGTGGTATAGAACTTCAAGTAATACTCACCCAAAAGGGAGTATTTCTACAGCGAAGGCTAAAAGAATTTATAATTGTCTGTTTCCAGCTGAAAAAGAATTCTAAAAGATGGAGCGTGGATTCACATAAGATCACATAAATGGTATCACTATGTAGTATTCCATATACTTGATATTATGCTCATAAATCATGGTTAATGTAAGGGCTAGATTTTGTAGCTTTAAAGGTAAGGGTAAAAGAACAGATGTCATTATTAACATTTAAAATTTCAATGGTTTATACTCTGTAAATGTAACAAAAATATGAAGGCTATAGCGTAAAAAAACCAATATCAATTGACAACAAATATAAAGAAAAATCTAGAAAGGGGCCAACAAGTCTTATTGCGCAGAAAGAAGTAAGACAGGATTTAATAACACATTGGCCAAAATATAGTAAAAAGACACTATGCAAAAACCCTGGGTGCTAATTGGTTACGAAAGTGATCCAAATATGGTGTATCATTATGTTTTACTATAAAAAACGATTGTTTTAAATTATTTCATGTAAATTAATATAAATGTTTTATTACATTATTTATCAGGGATGTAAACCCGGACCCTGAACCCTCGTATTTTGGCTGAACCCGGACCCTTTTAAAAAGTGGAGGGTCCAAGGGTTCAGGGTGTTAAAAATTTTTTCTTTTAAAATTAATGTAAAAATATAATTTTTAAAAAATAATATAAAATTTTATTAATTTTTTTCGTAGAATCATTTATTTTATCTTTGCATTTTTCTTCCTGGACTTCATTTTATTTAGATATTGATACCATACATTATTTTATAGTGTAAGTAATAATATTTTATTATGTAAATTTATTTGCTCTTATTAGAAATACTTTGACTATTGTTTATCAGATTTTTATGGCATATGGTTAAGATGTCGATTAGAGTTAGGGAGATTTACAAGTTCTTTTTCAAATGAAGTATTAGTAATATGAAAATGAGAGAGCAACAATATTTATAAAATAGTATTGTATATGCTTCGATATATTTAGACCTGCGATATCAGGTTTTATTAAGTAGTGAGCAAAAACAAATGGCTATAGACCATCTTGAAGATTTTTGGCATACTCAAAACTCTATTATTTACAATATATTGGAGGCTACAACAATATCTACTGGTTGTAGCGATAACAATGATAATGATAACGATATTGATCATCTGGAAATTTTACTATTAGATAGAGAAAAAAAAATTTAATTATCATCTGATAGAAAGAGCAAAAAATATCTATTGTATCTTTAATAGAAAAGTTCTTGGAAGTTAAGAGAATAAATAGAGATGCAAACATTTTAAAATTCTGGGAGGAAAATTCTTCAACGTATCCAGAATTATATACCCTGTCTAGAATCGTTATGGCTGAACCGGGGACACAAGTACAATAATTTATTATTATAAAAATGACTATCTATTTTAGGTAAGTGTAGAACGTGGATTTTCATCGTTGAAATATATTTTGTCTAATTTACGTGGAAATCTGAAGGATGATATTTTAGAAGATATCATGATTGCGATTGAATAAAATATTTAAAATATAAATTATCTCATTTCGAATTAAAAATTTGTATATATTGAAGTATAATAAAAAATGAATGAAAAAAAATCTTATTTTGAGTCATTACTTTAATGTTCCCTTTGGACCCAGGTCCTTTTTAAATTTATTACCGGACCCGGACCCTTTTTTTGTCGAAGGGTTCACATCCCTGTTATTTATCAAATAATAAAATTATATATATTTATTTTGTAATAGGTTTGAAATCGAAAAAATATGATACTTTTTACACGCATTGTGTTAAATACACACACACTAAAAAAAAATTTATGGCTTAAAAATTTTTTTAAAAATAATTATTTTTAGTTTATTAAGAGCCCTTTAAAGACAAAAATAAGTTTTTTTAAAAAATTATATAATTTATTGATATGTTGCACAATAGAGGGTTAAGCATTTTAATCTATCCTTCAAATATACTGGTCATACACTTATACTAGAATTTGACTGCTCATTTGGAGTCATCTAGTATTATTTATAAGAGTTTTGAGACTATTAATATTATTTTACTTTTCTGATTCAACTTTTGACTCAAAGATTTCTACTAATGATTTAGTCAAAACCATTAATTTATATATTGGCTATTGTAATTTATGAAATATTAATAACAATTAATCAATTAAAATTAACTAATATATTTAAAAAAATAAAAGATATGAAAATAAATTTGACCTTATAATAAGGTAGGATTTTTTTCAAAATTGAATCTGACCATTAAAAAATCCTCAAGTGTTAATAAGTTGTCTAAAAATCTTCATGATTTTTTGGATACTAATGGTCTGCATTAAGCCTAATTTTTCAAGCCTCCATTTGTCCTACCCAATTTTGAACATTTGTTTTTTATTTGTCCTAAAAAACCCAACCCAAAATAAAAATTGCCAAGAAAAAATTCAATATTTTTTTAATTGGCCTGTAATTTTTTTAAAAATAATAGTCCTAGCCTGAACTGAATTATTTTTAAAAATTAGGCCTGACCCTGAGCCCATTTGGGTTAGGCTGAGATTTGTGGATCTCTAATTAATACCAAATTAAATTTGATTGTGAAAAGAACTCAAAACATAGTTCTTAAAAAGGAAATCTTTATAAAAAGATTAATTAATCTTCAAATATTTTTAGGAAGATTTAATGATGATAACAGATAAAGTTGCTTCAATATCTATTATATTAAACCTTAATATTGAAACATTACATTACAAAATCATAAAGGAATTATTAACGGTTAGTGGAAAAAAAAATACACACTTTGAAAATATGTAGAAAAAGTATCATATTGCCTTTAATTAAATGCTACTTAACAGCACTTTTCACTGGAGTATCAACAGCTTCTTGTGAGGCCTTATTATCTACACTCAAAAGGGTTTTATCAAACACCAGAGATTGAAAAAACAATAATGAAAATAATAATATAAAGCTTGACTTTTAATTTGTTTAAAAATAAAAATCGTCTTAATATTATAATATTTTGAATGTTCTTAATTGTTTGCATTTACAAATTTCAATAAAAATAGCAAAAGTAATTCAATGAGTATTTGACTGTTTTATTTAAACAAAGTTGGTCTGAAAGTTTCATCTTATTAATATTTTGAATGTTCATAATTGTTTGCATTTACAAATTTCAATAAAAAAAGCAAAAGTACTGGCTCTAGGCCTATTATATAGTTATATTTATTTTTTTTAAAAAAATACTTAAAATTATTTTTGTGTAATTTTTTTAAAAAAATTAATTTTAGGTATATTATAGTGTAATTAATTAGGGCCCTGCAAATTTAATTTTATCAGCTCAAGCCCAGTCCGAAATACTTATAAATTTTTTAAGCCCAATCCGAGATAGAATTTTAATTTTAGGCTCAAGATAAGTCCTAAATTTTTAATTGAACGCCATTTTAACAAATGAAGTAAAAATTACTAATTTCTTTGGCCTTATTATATATAAATTAGTGAAAGTCAACGGTCTAGTCCTATTGTAGACTGGACCGATCTTTTTTGAGAAAACAGTCTGGACTGGTATCTTTTATTAATATTTAAGTTTGCTATACTATTCAATTAATATAATTTTTTTGTATATTTTATTCATGCTAAAGAGGAGTTATTTTAGTTCATTTTTATTTTGAAATATGAAAACCATAAGTTTATCAAAGAAATATTTTACTTATATTCCCAATAAAGAACTAAGATTATGTCGTCACTGCTGTACCAATATCGTCTGCAACATGTAACAAAATAATTGCCTGATTTTTTGTGCAATAAATTAATCAAAATAAGCAGTATTTTTTTAAAAATCTTATCATCATTATTTATATGGTTCTATTTTTTCTTATGAAACTGCCTGAATAATTTATCGTATAATTTAATCTTATTAATAAAAATAATTAAGTAACTAAGCAGACATCTGATAAAACATGAAATTTATACTTCAATGATGAAAATATCTTGAAAACACAATCTACTCTCCACGAGTACAAAGTCACTTTCCTCAATTTATTAGATGAATTTTAAACTGAACATATTTACCATTTAATAACAAAGTGGTTAATAATGGACTGTCTTAGCCGATGAAGACTTTTAAAAGTTGGTCTTCATAATTTAATTACATATTTTGAACTCAACTCATGCAATTTGGTCTAAAATCAAAGTTAAATAGTTTTATACAAATAATTTTGAAAAACTAAAGAACCCATTAAGTGAAATTTATTAATAAGTTTACTGCAGTTATGTGGAGTAGTTTAAATAAAATTCATTCTTTGGCATTACTGCACTTTATTGATCCATCATTTACGTTAAAAAATAAATTGTTTGATATGAACCATATCCCATTTCTTTATACTTCTGGGGAAATATCCCTAGTTATAAAAGAAGTAATTGTTGTATATTAATTAGAGGAGATTATACTGGCTGGCACTACAGCTGTGTCAGTAACATACTAAAAAACTTTTCGCAGAATATTTATAAAAAGCAAAAATTAAAAATCTTCAGGTGCTCTGCCCTAAACCTAATATCTCAGGAAGGTTTGTCATCCCTTACAACTATCCTAGAGAAGTGCAGAGACATAGTCTTTTCTAAAAAAAAATCAAGCATATGATATGCGAAAATTAGGGTATTAAAAAATATCCTTAGTAGATGGGATAGAATTCATGAGGTATTTACATTTTTATCCAATTATTTTAAAAATATTTATTTTTAGAACATGGATGCTATAGAAGAATATGCAGGTATATCTCAAAGAATTATTTTGCTATTCAACATTATTGGATCCGAGATTAAAACAAGTTTACATGCCTATAATACTCCTAATTGCAAAATTTGCACTATTTAAAGAAAATAAATATAAAAAAATACAAGAACAAAACAATTCAGAACTTCAAGTTTATTTGAATGAACTTGTTTCATTGAAGGATGACATGCTATTATGATGGAAAACCAATAATGAAAGGTCTAATATTTTTTTAAATAGTAAATATAATTTATTCTCTCTCCAGCTGCTAGGAATTTTCTAGCAATTCAATCAACATCTGTTCCCTATGAGCAAATATTTTCTAAAGCAGCAGATCGTGTCACAAAAAATAAGGAACTGGTCTTCAAGCAAAACAGTACATGCTTTAGAATGAAATAGATCTACAACCTCCATTTTGCATTCTGAAAACAAAGATATTAGCATATATATCTAACTAAATATTTGTTTTATTTATTATAATATTCATAATTGATTTTATATTATTAATATAGTACTCTTATGATAAAACATGAATTAAATTAGATAAAACAAAAATATTTTTAAAATAATAAAAAAATAAAAAGACCGGTCTTTCTTTCCTGGACCTGTCTTTTTATTTAGAACCACGGTATTGGATCGATCTTTTTCTATCAACTTGTTCCGATCCGGTATGAATTCATCGGGTTGTACCAACGACCGAATAGTGACTTTTACTAATATAAATGGCTTATATTATTTCGCTCAGCATAAAATCTAAAACGCTCAGAATTTTTTTCCTTAATTGTTTAAAATTAAAAAAAATACTTAAAACTCAGAATCTTTATTGAATTTTACAGATATTTTTCCTAAAATCTAAGTTTTTTTTAGCGTTTTATAGAGCGATTCATTTTTTAGTCTAACGCTTCAGTTATATATGAGCATATGATTTTAGATTTAATAAATAGCCATTTACTGTTTTTAATAACAGTCTGATTTTCACAATATTAAATAAATTTGGCATTTTTAAAGATGGCGATATATCAGAAAGTAAACCGATTTTGAAAGTAAAATTTTAAATTTTTAACATAAATTTATAAAAAACATTGAAGAGATCGGGTTGAGATTCGAGTTTTTTACATATCATCACTATACTGCGAATTCAATGGGGATTCCAACAATATAAGGCTATATTTAATGAATCAAACATATACATTTCTTGGTTATAATGATTACTGAAAATGTTAATCCACAAAACATTTTATATACATTTTTAAGAAAACCTTGAGCATGTTCGGAAACCCTTTAAAACTAACGCTTTACAAATATTTTTTTGGAAGGAATATAAAAAAATTATTCATGAAAATCAGAATATTTAATTTTTCAATACATTTATTTTGAAACACTAATAGTAAAAATGGTAAGCGGTAAATAATTCCCCAGAAAAAAAATTCCCAATAATAATTCTCCGGAATCGATTTTTTCAAAATTTTAAAATATACTATTTGAGGATTTTTATTCCATGGATATATTTATAGGGAATTTTTTCTTCTATTTAATTAATTTTGTAATTTTTAAAATCTTAGAAAACGGGGATTTTTTTTCCGGGGAATTATTTTCCTAGATTCCATTATATCATGCACATTTTTATATAATCGCAATAATTTTTTAATTGGATTGTTTTCAATTTAAAAATTTAGTCCGGGTTAAAATAATTTTTAATTCGGGTTCGGACAAATTTTATTTATAATGGGTTGGGTCGAGCTGTGGAAAAATCACTTTGCAGACCTTAATAACCTACTTCACCATAATATGTTAAAGTTTTTTTATCCAAACCGACGAGAATCCAGTCGACTCTTTCCAGAAATTAGATAATCTATAGTAGATGGAAACAATTTTTAAGAAACGAACATTACCTAAACGACAAACATACAAATTACTACAAACTCTAATAATATAACTATATATAATTATTTTTGAAAATATTATAAAAATATATATATTGATAAGAGTTGCACCACACGAGTTTCACAACAGATCATCTCTGAACATGTGTCATTTGCATACAAATACACGTTGTTTTTTGGGAAAACTCCCTATTCCCCGGAAAAAAACCCCAAGATTAACATATTATAATGATATATCAATAGTATCACATAGTAAATAATTGTATATAATGAGGAGCCGAGTTTGTCAGACTTTAAGTCTTCTTATCTTCACCTACAAGCTGCTGAAAGCGCTCTTTCACTGCTATCTGAGGAAGCTGGGATAGCCAGGATTTTAAAATCCAAAGCTATATTGGGAAAGTTGTTTTGATAAACCACCAATTTAAGATTTGGTAAACGATTTTAAATATTAAAAACTTGAGGCTATATAATTAAATATATTTTAATTAACCTGATAGATTATGATGTAAATAAAATATTTAATAACACAAAAATAAATAACAAAATTGTTAAACATGTAAAATAATAATTAAAAATGACATGTTAGATTGTCATTTATTTTACTGATGAAAATTTGTTAGACTAAAAATGATATTGATATGAATTAAAATGATTATTTACGATATTTATATTGATTTATCTGGTCGGATCGGGCTTTGGGTCAGATACTTCTTACATCCTGATCCGAACCCTAAAATATAAAGTTTTTTAAGTAATGACCCGAGCTGGTCGGACTATGGGCAACCCGTGCAGACTTCTACAGGTTATACATTTTCGTTATTATTGCAAAGTTGAAGATGCTTCTTCTTTCTCATTGCGTAGTACGTGATTGAATGGGTTTGAATATTTGGTACATAGGCGTAGTCAAGATTTTCCTAGGGGGGGGATTAAAAAATTAGCTTAGCCCTCAGACCCCATTTCGGGCGGGCCGCTGGTTACCTTAGTCTATCTATAGTCATAAAGTATTTTTACAAGATAGGAGGTTAATTTTAATTAAAAAAAAAGCCTGGAACAAATATAAAATGTATTTTTTATTAGTTTCTATAAAATATAATAAATTACTTGCATATGCATGAATATAAAAGCATGGTAATAATTTATTCCAAACAAGTATAAGAAATTTATTTATAAAAAGTAAGTAGAGATATAGTTGATATACCTCTATTATATAGAATTAGTTACAATATACTAGGTAAAATTCCACTTTTACAGACATATTTGACAGTTAGATAATATATTACAGTTAATATTTTAACAAATTTTACTAATCA